AACTGGAGTGGGCGGGGCTGAGTGGAGAGGCGGTCCTCGGGGGCTGAACCTAAACTTCTTCCTTCCTCCACCACTCCCTGTAGTGGGGCAGAATGGCGGCCGGGGGTCCTGTTGTACTTAAGGACCCAAGCTATATTTAATTTCAGCTGACGCTCATGTTGCTCGTAGATCATGGGCTTTGCGATAGGACTTGACCACAACTTACCACCCCACCCCCCAATTTACCAATCCAAAAACTGCCATCATTTGGTTTTCAGTCCTCTCCAGAAATATTATGTGATGTACAAATATCTCAATTGGTTAGAGCATGGTGTGCTAACACCAAGGTCAAGGGTTCGGATCCCCCCACTGTCCAGCCAACAACAATAAAAAAAAAAGTATGATATACAAATATCCCTGAGAATGGGGTCACAGTAAAACCTAACACCATCGATATGACCAAAGACTTTCTTGTGAACTTCCTCTCAAAGACCTTGTCTATAGAGGGGGCCAGCAGTGGCTCCACCTCCCAGTTTCAGTTTAAGGAAGTCTGCTGGAGGAGGCAGGCTTCAGCAGAAGGGGTCAATGCAGAGGGTAGGAAGAAAGGGAAAGGGGAGAAAGCCCCACAGAGCCTCATAAACCTTGCTTGGGGGACCAGCTTGTACTTAACATTCTCCCAGCTTCTGCTGCCACACACACCCATTCATTCAATAAATGTTTACTGAGAGCCTCCTAACTTGGAATACAGGGAACAAAACGAGATCATCACCCTTATTGTTGCTGATATACCAAGTGCGGAGAGACAGAAAGCTAAATAAGTACACAATTCGACTGTGATAAGTGCTTTCAAGAATATAGCATTGAAGGAAGATTGGGTAAGGTAATTTTAAACAGCGTGGTCAGGCAAGATGAACCTGACAGAGATGAGGTTAGCAAGCCAAATAGAAGTCTGTTGGGAGACCATTTCAGGCAGAGGGAACCGCGAATGCAAAGGCCCTGGGGTAGAGGCAGGGTTGGAGTGGAGGGCACTTGTAGAGATGAGGTTAGCAAGCCAAATAGAAGTCTGTTGGGAGACCATTTCAGGCAGAGGGAACCACGAATGCAAAGGCCCTGGGG